ACAGTGACATCCAGCATTCATTGCTGTCAGCCCACCTCACAGTGCCCCTCCAGGATGCACCTAGACCTGCAGATAGCAGCGGCCAAGAAATGCCCTGTCCCCTTCCTGCCTTTCCCTCCTCAGTGTGGCTCCACACAAAACCTGAGTGCATCCCAGCCCCTGCCACATGGCAGGCCTCTCTGGGATACTGGCTCTGGGGAAGCTCTTTGCTGCTGGGCTGTTGCCATTAAGGGCACACCCTCTGTAGAGCAGAAGGTGACATTTCTCTAAGCACGTGGAAGAAGGCCCTTCTGGTTTTGATTTTCCAATAAGTTCTCTATCAGTGCCTTGCAGAAAACCTGGCCTGGTCCACAACAAACCTTGTTTGCCAGGAAAACCTTGTTTGCCAGGCTGCTGTCGGTGTCCCTCTGGTGGCTTCTGGGCAGGCACTGAGGCTGAGTGCAGGTGATTTCAGGATACCTGGACCCTGAGGGAGAGGGGGCCAACTCTGCTCTCTGGCGAGTTCTGTTTACACACATTGCTACACTCAGTGTCATGGGGCTTGGTCACTGCAAGCTGCTGTGGCTCCTTGGGCCAGGTTGGGAGGCACACATGCTGGGGTCAGCACTCCTGCAGACACTGTCCCCAATGTCACTGTTTCCTGAGAACACTGTTAGTCCAAAAGAATCACAACCCACCCCAGCCCCCACCATCTAGTTTTCTTCACCTATCCTGTGTATTTAGGACACGTACAGGGACATTCCCATCTGAAGTGCCTCTGCTACTGAACCCACCTCTGAGTCAAGAGCCACGCCATGTCCAGTAAGAACTATCAACCTGCCTGCACTCTCAGCCCCTGCTGAAATACCACTTTTCCAACATTGACCTCTGATAGCTGAACTAGAAGCTTCAGGAGAGTTAACTATGAACTTCTAACTCTTCATAATCAACAATTTGCATAGAGATCTGGAGCCAAAATAAACCCAAGTTTGCAGATGTTCACAAATGCACCAGCAAATCTTTCCCCTGGTGGAAAGAGAGGTAGACCCAGCAACTGCAACCTATAGTCAGGTGGTCATTAAAGCTCCAGCTGCGAAACAGAACACTAATTGTGATACTGAAGGTCTCAACGCAAGAGAGTCTGGAGGCAGAAGGTGACCCCACTGCATCTAGGAAAGAGATGCAGCCTTCAAGTACTAAGTCAGAGGCTGTTTGTTGGCTTGTTTTTCTGTTTCTCCCTTTCACTGGGCAATAACAAGGAAAGGGAAGAGGAACTGCCTTCTGCAGTCTTGGTGATTTCTTGCTAAGTACATATATAAATACAAGCATGTTGAAAGCATATTCTTAATAAAATTATTAATAACTCAGAATGGGAGGAGTCATCTGCTGTGGTATCAGAAGGGTGTGATTCTTAGTGTGTTCCCTGTTTTTACGACCAGAAGCTGGTGTGCAGAGCAACATTTTGTGACCAGCTCTGGCCATAGATGCAGGCTTGGGAGTGTCCCTGGGCACTGCCAGGTACCTGTCATCTGAGTTACTTGAGCAGCCAGATACCTGGGCTCCGCGTGTCCCTTGATGTTGCTCATGTGACACTCCTGGAGACTAAGGAGTTCTTTGGAAAAAAAATTAAAAACAATAAAACACACATTGTCCACTCACAGGTACCTGCACACTCCCTCAAGTCACACAATTTACTACTGTTTTGGGTACAAGTAACACCAGGCAGCCCCAGAAGTCAGAAATGGGATTTCTGGCTGAGACAGAAACTAGAAAGAGCTGGCATCCAGTAAATGAAAAGAAGCCACTGGCAGGAACCCAGGCAAAAGCATAAATGGCACTGAGGAGTCTCGTGAACGCCCAAGTCTAAGGAAGGTGCTCTGAGAAAGCAAGTTAAGTCACATAATCACCTTGGACAGAAAGTCTGTAGCCGGGCTCAGTGGCTCAGCCCGTAATCCCACGCCTTTGGGAGGATGAGTGAGTGGATTGCCTGAGCCCGCGGGTTCGAGACCCGCCTAGGCAGGCGAGACCTCATCTCTACAATAAATCAAAAAATCAGCCGGGCGTAGTGGCGCGCGCCTGTAATTCTGGCTACTCATAAGGCTGAGGTGGAAGGATTGCCGGAGCCCAGCAGGTCGAGGCTGCGGTGGCCGGGAGCGGCCACTGCACTCCAGTCTGGGTGACAGAGTGAGACTCCAACTCAAAAAAAAAAATAAAAGCAAGTCTGTAAAAGGAGTGGTCTGCTAGGAACCTGGGAAAGGCAGCTTCATGGAACAAGCAGCCCTACCCAACTAGGACATGCCATGGACTAAAGCGATCTCCCCAAAATCTTTATAATGACAGACAGGTAGCTGGGCCAGGGGATAAAATTAATCTTTAGAGAGCCAATATTTTATTTTTCACCAGCAAATTAAAAAATTGGAAATTTGAATGTTATGCTAATTTTCATGAGTCTGGTTCTGGGAGTCTGTCCGGGCGCTGGGGCAAACATGAGCACCTAATCCAGAGCTGGGTCACACCCAGGAATGAGACCCCTTGGAGGCCCAAGATCCACAGTATCTTCCTGAAATCTAACCCTTTAATATCGCAGGGGCGTGCACACCAGCGCATGGTACAGGAGATGCCCACACACAAAAGCTACTGTCTTGGAGGCAATAGCCCAAGAAGCGGCCCAGCCACCAAGTCCTCACCCCTCTCATCCAGGCAGTCACCAAGGAGATTTGCTTGTTCCTCCTCACCCTCTTCAAGTGTGCCTGCCTGCCTGGTCCCTCTCTATCTCATGACCATGCCCTGGCTCGGGGTGCTGCCATCTCTCCCGACGGTTGTGGCAGCTGTCTCCTTAGTGGCCCCTGAGGCACAGCCCCATGCTACTCAGCACCCCAGTGAGGCTGCCACCCACAAATCCATTGCACCTCCCGCTGGCTCAGCATGCCCTAGCGAGCCCCCTGTCTACAGAATGGCATCCATGCCGCTTACAAAGATCCCAGCTAGTTAGACCTCTGGAAGCCTACAAGGGTCTCCCTGTCTGAGCATGCTCAGGTCTGGGTTGGTACGAGAAGTGTATGTGTGTCGGGTCCTTACCAAGTTACAGCTGGCTGCAGCTACCACCAGCCTGACTGGCCAGGCCTATGCAGTATCTGAAGCCTTGCCTGCACAATCCTGTCACTGTTGGCATCATGATGAAGTGGCTCCTGCAGCCCTGGGTTCTCCCATCTCTGCAGGTTCACCATTACCCGAGCCTCTGCCTGAACCGTCCTCCCTTCCCGCCATGCCCAGCTCATGCTAAACTTGTGCTGCAGGTCTCACATTCCAAGACGCCCTTCCTAAACACTCCCTGCCCCAAAACTGGCATAGTGTTTTTCTACCTCCTCCCCCACATGGCAGCAGTAGTTGCACGAGTCCTGACAATGCTGCTCTGTGGGTGACAATTTTCTTAGCTGCCAACCCCACTGAGCCAGTCGTTCTGAAAAACAGGAGTGTGTCTGGGTCCCTGCTTCTTCTCACATACTGCTGCAATGAAGGGAGACTTGTCAAGTAAATGAGTGAATGAATGAATGGAGAGGCAGTGATCCTTTTGTCTCCCCTGTTTGTAAGTTGTGATTCCGAATTCCAGGACGGAACAGATCTGTGCTCAAAGAAAATCGCAGGAAAAACAGTCTGAGAAGCTGCCCTGAGCCACGCCTACCTCATGTCACACACTGCTGAGCCCATCTCCAGTGTGACCCATGAGAACCTCTGCCTTCTAACATTTAAGAGCTCAATACCATCTCAGAAGACTAAACTTCCAGACAGAGGACGGAAATAGATTGCTCCCCCCACCCATCCCTCATGCTGGCCCACAACAAACTCCTCAGAGACTAAGGGTGGAGGGAAGGAGAGGTTTCCGGTACTAACATGGCTGACCTGGACCTAGCTTTCCCTTTGGCTGAAGCACCCCACAGGCCCCTGAGCCCAGGGCACAGGAGCGACTGCACCCAGTTCCTTTCTGCTACTTCCATGGGTGGCCCCTGCCTCCCTTCCACTGGCCCACTGATTTGGGATCAAAACCCCAGCAGGCTCAGGCCCCAGCAGTGCTAACATTTTCAGTTCAAGGTGCATTTCTTGGCCTCTCTGAGCCTCCGGTGAATGAAATCATGCCTTCTCCACAGGTTTACAAAGCTTAGGGGTGACCAAGACCACACAATCATAATGACTGGTGATGGTATCAGATATAGTCCTGCAGTAAATGGTGGTGGAAACGACGGCTGGCTGTGAAGACAGGTGACTCTGGATGATACATGCAGGGCTCCTGGGTCTGGTACACAGAAACACTCAGACTGGTGCCATGCCAGGTCTGCATGTTGAGTTAGAATAAGCCCCTTCATGTCCAAGGTGTTTGTTACTTGAAACTGATTGGGGTGCCCCCTCACACCCACAGGGGCCACTACCCACATGGAGGAACCTTGTCCCCCCTCCTCTCGCAGTCCCCAGCCCCTCCCCGAGCTGGTACAGGACCTTCTGTTATCAGAACCTGTCAAGTCTGCCACCTGTAGTCTATCAGTTCTTAGTTCACTGCCTTTAGTTCACACCAATTTACGCTTAGAGTGAAATGCTAAACCTCCTTTCTCCTCCACTAGTTTAGACAAGAAAAACTTAGGAAACTGACTTAAATTGCTCTTCAAGTCATTTTGTGTTCTTTCAAATCAAAGGCTGAAAATGGAATCAGGCGACAGTGTTCAGTAATGTGTAGCAAGTGTTGGAGGTGCACCTGGGCTGCACGTTCTTATGCAAACACAACTCCAGGTGCCAAACACTCAGCTCCACTCAACGCAGGCAAGGCCTAACTCCCGAGTTTCCTTCGCCTCCCACTGAGGATTCGTGCTTCATTAATTCACCTTTCCTAGCATCTGGGGAACCACCTTCTGGACGAAAATGATAGCCAATCAGGCAAAACCCAGAGCAGGCTTCAAGCTAGCTCTGATTTCCCATAGGCAGAAAGGCATGCCTGTCACCCTCAGCTCAGAAGAACACATCGCACGTAATGCTACACTTGGCTAGGTTGCCCTTTATTAACAGACATGTGCAGCTTTTGGAAAACTCCACCCTGGAGAACACAAACCATGGATAAAACACACAAGAGACAGCACCCAAGCTGGGGGGTTTCAGGACACACAGACAGAATTTATGCAGCACGTGCCCCAGGCTGGGCTCCCGCCCAGACAGTTGTCTGGAGAAACAATCATGATTACTAGACAGTAACCAAGACAGTGCAGCCAGGCTTGACATCGCTTTACAGGCATCAAAGTAAGGAAAAAAGCAGCCCCAGCAGTGGAGTTAAGGTAAAAATATTTTCTCTTCCTAAAAAATATCCTTAGTTCTTAATATATTACAACATGATTTCACATGTATTCAGTTTACAATGAAAAACAAACAAGTTTACAAATGACTGCTGGACACTTAAAAATAAGCCCTAGGTTGCTTTTCTTTTTTGGCAGCACCAGCCTAAACTCTGGCTCTGCAACATTTCAGAAATCTCAGGTGCATTACAGTCTTCTGAGAAAGGCCCAGTACTTCACAATTCCCGGAGCGGCTGTGAAGAAAGAACATTGCTGGCAACAAATATTAAAACAGCATCTCAAGACCTACAAGAATACATTTAGAAGTTCATCAAAGTGCACATATTTAAGACTTCAAGATAAAAACCCAAATATTTTTCTTTCTGTTAACGTATTTGCATTTCTTTGTGAGCAGCTGTGTGAGTTGCAGATGATGACTCTGTGGCCATGTCCCTCTTTCTAGTGCCCCCCCAGGGCCTGCACACATGCCAGAGCCAGGCAGCTTATATGCCTGCTCACAGAGCTCACCTTTGACAAACCCTCTACATGCATGGGAAAACCACTCTTCTTATTCCGGGGCTCTTCTGTGGTAGAATTTGAAGAAACTGAGGTGCAAACATCTTTTTAGGGAGAGGTTAAGCATATTTTTTCATTCGTGTGACTCTGCGTGCTTAAGTAATGTGAGTTGGTGTCAAGACCTGGGCCCCTGAATTGGCACAGCGTCCCAGACACCTGTCGCCCAGACTGCACACTGCAGGTGCTCTCATGGCCTGAACATGGGATTCTACCCACCTGGAAGCATTATTGGAGCCCATATAGAAAACTTTAAACAGCTCAATGACATTCCCTTTAGCTTCAAAAGCAACCATGAGTGAACATTTTCAACGATGAGAGTTGAATGGAATAACAAAAGACACCCTTCCAAAAAACATATAATGAGGTAGGCTCAGATCAAATATCAAACCCACAGCATACACCAAAGAGAATACGTGTTCAGGCATTTTCAAATGCAAACCGCTACAGTGCCTAATAAATGCTCCTTCTTCCCAGTTCTTGCAGGTGCATGCAAGCCTCGAGAAGGTGCCTGAAGAGTAAGAACAGCAAGAGGGTGAGAATGAGAGAGCAGCTGGGGAGGCAGGGAGGGCCCTCTGGGGCACTTAGTGGTGTTGAAGTGCTCCCACTCACCATGGGGCCCAAATGCTGCCAGCCCTAGAAAACAAACACCAAGAGAACTCAGGGCTCCATGGGACGAAAGGGGCTTGGGCTCAAGACAGAGGAGCCCTTGCACAATGCACTCACAGCAAGCCTGAGTGAATGCTCAGCCCCTCCAACCCAGACTCCAGAACCACCCTCCCGCACAGCAGCCTGGCCCCTGCTACCCCTGGCACCACCCTGGGTCTCAGAGAGGCCCTGGCTCCAGACATTTGCACCTGAGTTCTCCTCACTGTTTGCTCATAGGCAGGTTGAGTGCCCATGCCCTCCATGTGGAGGGAAAAGGCTCCCACACCAATTCTGGCAGCACACACTTTGTGACTTTGAGCAACATGAACAGAGTTAACACACACACACACATTCACACGCACACACACCTTTGTAATGTACACATGCATACACACTTGTGTGCCCATACCCTCACATGAGCACACACATGCATTCATGCACTTATACACGCCCACATGTGTACACACTCACGCACATGCACACCAACTAGCATGCACACACTCTCACATGTACACATATGCTCATAGGTGAACTCACACAGGTATATTCACACACATGTATACTCTCACACACGTGCACTCACCCACGTACATGCACACACCTGTGTACTCAAACGCACACTGGCATGCATCCTCTCACACACACGCGTACATGGCAGGGTCCAGCACCTGAACAGCATCCAGGGGTGCAGCAAGCTCAGGTGAGGCCTGGAGGGGCAGGGACGTGAGGAGTCTGGAGCAGGGCTGGGTGGGGTTGCCTGGGAAGGAGCCCCAGGCGCTGCACTTTGCCCTGACCATGTCCCATTCTGTCCTGGGTGATGGGGTCAGCCAGCAACTCCCAGCACCTCTACACCTCAGCAGACCACGCTGAAGACCCACGGCAGGAAGGCAGGTGTTGGTCCCTGGAGCTAGGTCTCTGTTGTGTGATCACTGCAAGCCAGAGAGGCCAGAGCAGGGAGGCCGCTCCACCGCCTGGTTCCTAGTGGCGGCTCTGCACATCCTTGTTCTTTATATTTACCCAGAATATTCTTGGCTTCTTCTGCATCCCGCAGAGGACTCTCTCCGTATTCTTCCTTCAGCCACTGCCGGTACTGGAGAGGTCAAACAAAGCCAATACGTCATACACACACACCTGCCTGCATGTGCACTTGCACCTGTCAGTCAAGGCAGAGGTGGTGCCATACACAGGGACATAAAAGGGCAGTGAGTAGTGGAGGTTCTGTGGCCAGCTGGCATCAAGCACCAAGCAGGAGAAACAGTTGCTCCTGTAAAGTGTCGGCTGAGGACAGAAAAATAAGCCAAACCAAGAGACGGCTACCTCACCCACAGGGAGAGAACAAAAGCAAATATGGGGTGCCAGGCAAGGAAAGTGATGAAGGGCGAGACCCTGTGGCTGCAGCAGGTGCAGAACTTCCAGTGGAGGCAGGTGAGCACCCTTGGGCCTATCATCCTCTATGGACCCTCCACTCGACCTGCTGCAATTCTGGGTGTGTTTGGAAAGTCTGAGAGTATGGTCTGCGGCAGCTGCCTGCATCTCAGAAGTCCCCTATGACCTACTTACCTGGTGGACTTCATGCTTCTCGAACTCCTGGAGCTGCCTCTGGAAGCCCAGGTTGGGGTTGGCACAGGACCTCCCTGCACGCACAGTGTGTAGGGCGTCCTCCCAGCCAAAGTCAGTGACGGTCATGATGTATGCGATCACCAGTGTCACACTCCTGGAGACCCCAGCCAGGCTGCAGGGCCAGGAGAGACACATGTGCAAGGCTTGCCTTTTGGGAGCCTAGGGTGCATCACTCAATCCATTGGGGCAGGGGTTGTAGGGTCTAGTTTTAGAAAGTCTTCTTGCCTAGGGTCATGTGTGGACAACAAGCACAGCACCAGGAAGTCACTCAGAAGCGTATGAGCTTCCCTCTAAGTCATGACACTAGAATCTTGGGACTCGTCCAGCTGTTTCAGCCTTGCTCACTGGGATGTGAGCAGTGAGCTATTTTCTATGGGATGTGGCTCCAGATATCTCAGCTCTATGATCTGCCATTATTCCTGAAGTCCTTCTCAGGTATTTCCCATTTCTCAGACAGATTAAAAAAAACTGCCGTACACTGAGGGGACTTGAGGCTTTTAAGATCTATGCCATAAATCCATGTATCACCTGCCTTCGTTCAGAATGCTTCACAGTTTTTGGAAGTCTTGTTTTCTTAGCATATGAAGACTAGATCTATCATTTCCAAAGCCCATGACATACAGAAGCCCTTACCAAATCTTACATTTATGTACTTTTTGACATTAACAAGCAGAGGACAGAGTACTCCATGTGACCGTAGTGAGGGGTCAGCTCAGGCAGTAACAGTTAGCTATCTCTAGTAGGCTGAGTAAAGGGACTGGTTTTAAATGCATATGCAAATTAAACTGGTCATAGAAAGCTTGCACATCATAGACTTAGAGTGTTCTGGCAATGGTTTAAGATGGGGAAGTTTAGCAAATGTCTCACTTTAGAAAAACCTATCTTCAGATGTATACAAATGTATGAAATATGAATTCCTGGAATATCAGGCCTACATATATTCAGTATGAATAATAATGTAAAAACCCCCACTCTCAGGCAGTGGCTTTTCACTTGGGCTTTGTATCAGACATTCTGAAGGAGCTTTTAAAGGATAGATCCTCTTGGGCTGTATTTCTGGAGATACAAGGAGCCCAGGGAAGCCCAGGGGCAGGAGTTCCAGAACTACCCTTTAACTGGCACCAAGAGAAACTCCAAGGTGCTTTAAAGCTAAATGTAAGTGAACATTAAAATTCTACAACTTGTATTTGTTATACTTTCTACTCTTTAAAGGAGTGAAAAAAAACCACGCTATTTCAAGAATGGTACAAAAATGCGGATACCATTCTTAAAGCAGTCAAGTCATCCAGTGCTCCTCCTTCCCCATCATGGGTCACTGCCCTTGGAACACACAGTCTTCATAAGGAGCTTCTCTAGAGGCCATCCACTGGGTCCTCTCTGTCCCAGCAGACCTGCCACCAACCTCAACAGCAGCACTTCCCAAGAGGTACCACTTCATATTCCTACAGAGCTCACACTGCAAGAGCAGCTGCTTTGGGAGAAGCCAGAAAACTGCTGTGCTCTCAGTCACTTAGTACTACACCTCACTCAAGACAGAGGGGGGACATGTCCAGCCCTCAGTACCAACCCTCACTCGAGACAGAGAGGGGATATTTCCAGCCTGCACTGTGACAGACAGCAAAGCCCCGGCTCCAGGATTTGGGATGCTGGCTCCTAGACAGATGAGTCATGTCAATAATATGATCCCGATGGTACTAACATGCCAGCCCACACTCACTGAGACTGTGCCAGGCACATTGCTGAGAGCTTAGACGCATCATCCTCGGGCAGCTTTCTCTTCACAGTGTGTGTGTGTGTGTGTGTGTGTGTGTGTGTGTGTGTGTGTGTGTGTGTGTGTGTGTGTGTGGCGGGTAACGCATCTCCACACAAAGTACAGCAGAATGTAGGTGGGTAGCTATTGATGAATGGTTTAATCTTAAGTGTCTACTTAGAACTTTTTAAAGCAAAGTTGTAAGCCAAACATCTGCAAAAGCCCCATTCTGCAAATGTTACAATAATACAATGCTAAAAATCTACATTTGCAATCAAAACTGTCCAGAGAGAAAGTGTTTTGAGCAAGCCACTGAGTTGCCTATACCATTTGTAGGAGCCTGTTCTGACAAAATGCTAGAGGCAGTTATCAAGGGCAGTTTCTGTTGTCCAGTAATCTTGGAGGTCCCTACAGAGATCCTAGCAGTGAGTGAAATGAAAACAACAACAACAATAAAAAGCAAAACCAGTCGGGGTTCTATTTCAACAAAAGAAAAGGATGACTAATGAATATCAGGGGACAAGTGGAACGTGTGTTTGAGATTCAGAGTTTAGAGAAAATTATTATGAGATGAAAAAATTAATCACACACAGAGAAACACCTGATGAAAAATCCAATCAAGCAGAACATGTCACGGTGTTATTAAGAAAGAGACGTACGTACCAGTGTACCAGACAGCCCTCACCACGGAGTCGGCATTCATGAATGAACTTAATACTTTCTTTGAAATGTCTTGTCCTGGGGGGAGGAAAAAAGAGGGGAGTGACACACACACATTGAGTAATATTCCATGTATGTTGAGTAATGTCACTCAACATATGATGAAAAGAAAATTCTGCCTGTGGTTTCTTTTTTTAAATGTTAATTAACTTGTATGTGTAATTGACACATAATTGTCCATATTTATGGGCTGCCACATGATGCTTCAGTGCATGCATATATTGTACAGTGATCAAGTCAGGGTAATTACCATATCCAACACTTTAAACATTTATCACTTTGTAGTGATAACATTCAGATTCTTCCTCTATCCTGAAATATACACTACATTGTTATTTTCTATAGTCACGCTACATGTAATAGAACACCAGAACTCATTCTTCCTAAGGTTTCTTGAAAGGTCTCATAGTCCCACACTGTCAAAACCTGGTCACACTCTCTGGAGGCAGAACTGTCTCTGCCTCAGAACCCGTCACTCACATGCTGAGGTCTAGGAGAGGCTGTCAATCAGCTGGAATTGTCAGAATTTCTCTGTAAGGAACCGCTGCAACACGTGGTTGCCACTGACTGGGGTGGGAGGAAGATCTGCTCAGCCCCACTTCCAATGTGAGCCTGTCAATGCTCAGCAGCATGCAGGAACCTCACACTGGCTGTGAATGCTGCATGGTGCAGTGACCCGGTGAGGAAGGCACCCGCATCATGTGGGTTTTCCAAGTCCTGAAAGCTAGTTTACTTCTGAAGTCTGGAAAACCTAGAGCACTCTCCCAGATTGGTCTCCCGAACTTTGCAAGTCACTACAGAGCTGCAGGGAAATGGACTTTTCAGTTTCAAGCCCTCTCTGCCACTCACTGGCTATGTGGTCTCGGGCAAGTCATTCATCTCACTTATAAAAGGGGGCTGGTACCTTGAACAAGGTCACGTATGACAATCATAGACCCTAAGGTCCTAATTGTGATGGATGCCATCATCCTTCCTTCTCCTGACTCTTAGCTTTTTGAACCACTAAGTCGTTGAGACACAAAGCCAGGCAGGACTCAAACCCATTCCATGAGCTCCCTACCAGCACAGGCACCCTGCAATCCTGGACCATGCTCAGGACTGGCTTGAGGGTCACACGCAGGTCCTCCAGACAGCGCACACACCTCTCCAATGTCTTCTACCTCTTAAGGCTTAAAACAGCCAAATGCCACAAGTTGCTCATGGACCAAATTCACTTCCTTTAAACACTGATTGAATGCTCACTATTCGCCTGGGACTCTGATCAGATGCAAGACATTCAGAGATGAACAGACACAGTTCCCAATTGCAGAATGCCAGGGCAAGTGAATCAAGTAAGAACAGGTGACTCTGGCATGGAGTAACAAACACACCCAGGTATTGACTGCAGAAGAAACTCAATAGCCTCACTGTGGGTGCTCAGTGAGAAAGAAGTTGTCCATATGCATACATGCATGCACCAAATGCACACACAAGTCCTGCCAACAGCCATGAGTGGAAAGTCCTAGAGAACTAAGCCATGGATTCCAGGCTCTTACCTGATGTCTCTAACTAGCGCAGCATCACAAGATCTGCTTCCATCAACTTTCCTGGGAACAAATGCTCCCAGATGTGAGCTGACAAGGGGGCTCAGGGAACTATGACTGGACTCCCAAACACTGGCTTGGTCTATAGCAGGCAAGAAAAAAATTATTTGTGTTGTGTTATTTGTGTTGGTACTGAAGGAGACCACAGAGTAGTAGCTGAGGGCACAGCGGGGTGGGTGCCAGGGTGCCAGGCAGCCCAGCCAAGGCTGGGATAGGAAGGCAGCTGCTGGAGAGCTCCCAGCCCTCAAAGAACTGCTGTCTGGAGTTGGCAGGGGAATTCTCTGGCCTGGAAGAGTTAGAACCATGGCAAGGTGTGGTCAGGTGCACTGATGTTTTCTGGGATGGCAAAGTGCTCAGACCCTCACTCAGCATATCCCATCTTCTTCCAGTTCTGGTCATGGAGGAGGAGAGGAAGGACTGCAGACAGGGACTCCGGAAATGCTTTCCCTTCCTAAAGAGAGCAAAATGAGGAGCCAGGAGCAAGCATCACAGTCAGAGCTGCATAAACCACCAGTGAATGCCTCCAACCTACGGGAACCTGTCAAATACTTATAGCCAAATACTTGCTGCCTGATGCCAGAGCTAAGGCAAAAATTTTTAAAACCCAGAGCAGACTCAGCCAGTACAGCAGGGGCTTCAGGTTGCCAGTTTGCAAGCAGCTTGGTGGTCTGCACAGGGCGCCTACGTTCCTTGTAGGTCACTGTGTGTGGTAGACAGGCCAAAGTCAGAAGGGGCTAGACCGCAGACCCTGGGGCCAGGACAGGCCACCCCAACCCAGGGCTGCTTCCTGACTATGGGCTGGCTCCCAGGCTGGAGCAGCTGGCTGGCTGCAAGGGCACAGCTAGCTGCCCCTTATTTGGTCCACCAGGCCATCCATGCTGTGGTCCCCAGGGTGCCTGCAAAGTGATCCCTGCCTGCAGTGCCTGTTCATGCTGTCTCTGTGGGTCTTCTGGGAGGACAAAGGCATCTGTGAGCACAGCAGTTAGAAAAACAAAAGCAAGTTAGAAATGAATGACAACCGCCTGAGTAAACGAGCAACCAGAGTCATCTAAACATGCTGCAAAGACCACACGGTGGCATGGAAGTCAGCAGTGCCCCTCTGCGTGGGGACAGGATTTGGTGTCCTGGGACACAGCCAGTTCTGTGGCACTCACCAGGGTCTTGCAAAGATGATAACTGAATCCCTTGACTGAAACCTCAGAGTGTGAACCACTTCTTACATCTTACGGCTTTTACACCTGCATGTTCAAACCACACGCACAATGAAAGCAGGCTTCCTACAAGCTGTGGGGTGAACCTAGGTTCAAGAGTTAGCCTCGCCACATCTCAAAATAAGGTGGGGTATGCTCAGCCTGGCCACATCCAGACCTGCTCAGCCCAGAGCGCGTGCGAAGGAGCCAGGAGGTGGTGGGGAGGTATCCCACTCTCACCCCATTCCTTCCTCTCTCAGCTCCATCTGTCACAAGGGCTAAGTCCAGAACAGCTCCAAGATGCAGCTTCTGTCCAAGCTGTGTGTGTGTGGGGTGCAGGCTGCAAAGCCCCAGAGCAGGCACCAAGACGGGGCCCCTTGCAGTCTCGCCTGGGGAGCAGGAATGACGTAGACACGGCGGCTGATCAAAGCCCTGCTGCAAAACTTGACTCACAGACCCAGGCAGGCATGAGGCCAAGTCAGAGAAGACATTCCTAGAAATGCCTTTTCCAAGAAAAGTCAGGAGACAGGCAGGCTTACTGCCACTTTGGTACAGGATTGTGTGGGGGTTCATTTCCAGGGAAGCTGGTGACATAAGCCCAGGCTCTGGTCATTAAACTCCCTCCTCCACAGTGGGAAATACCCACGGACCTGGCCCTTCTATTGCTCAACCCAATTTGAAGCAGGAGCTCAAGTCTGAAGCATCGTCCTACCACAAGCTGTTTCGAGGGACACAAGTTCCTTATTCCTGCTCCTTGCCTTGCTGGTAGACACCCTTTCCTTCCATACACAGACATGCGGGTATGGTCTGTCCACAAAGAGCCAGCTGACAGCATCCAGAAGGAAGCATGGGCAACCTCACCAAACAGCACCAGGCCATCACACCTGCTCCACCCTACAGTCCTGGAAGCACAGCTCAGAGGGCAGCGGGGCTGCATTCTCAGAGAGGCATCCTCTGTGTGGACTCAGCAAACATTCCAGCAGCTCCCAGCTGTCCACCTTCCTTGTCATCCACCAGTGCTCCCCTCATATTCTGCATTGGAGGCCAGGAGCCAGTGACCAGATATGTTTCCTCAGTCTTCAGGGAGTCCAAGAAAGGACGGGCCTCGCTTGTAAGCTCACCGTGTAATGCTCACTGTTGAGGGTGAACAACTGCTGAGTACTTCTTACTCCAGGACCGCCAGATGTGAAGACCGCAATCCCCACTGTGGGGTCTGAGACAGACCTGTCACATTCAAAAGGACTCTGCTTGCTGGAGTAGGAGCCCAGAGATCTGGTCAAGCTCCTAAATGGTAGCTGGTTGTACCCCAAACCAGTGGTAGCAGCCCAGATTGTATGTGGACAGCAAAGGAACACAGGAAGCTCCTCCTTCCCCTCACTAATCCAAATGTGTGTGTGCAAATGAAAGCAAAGGGTTATAAACCCAACAGCAGCAAGTGTGTGCACACACATGTATATGTATTTGTTTATTTATTTATTTTTACTTAGAAAACAAAATCGTTTTTGTTGTCTTTTTTTTTTTTTTTAAGAGCAAATGGATAAAACATCTGGGTCCAGGCTCTGGAAGATGATCTCAGATCAGAAAGCTGCTTCCTCCTAGGGCAGAAGCTGTTGGGGACCCAGGCCCTGCCTTGCCTACCCTTCTGCTGGACCTCTGCTGGAGCAAGTGTAGGAACATTCCTCACCACACAGACATGGGCGGGGCAGCTCTGTTGGTGCTCAGCACGGAACACACAAAACTGACCTACATCCATTCCAGTGATTTACTAGCTATGATGTTTCATGCACCGGCAACATTAGAAATAAAATTGTGGGATATGTATACCATACTTTTCATTTTGCTAGATAAGGTCATTTTAAAAGCAAGCAAGCAAGCAAACAAACAAACAAAAAATCCTCTCTAACATTTATTACAACATCACTTCAAAAAATAATAGTTCAATACCAAATAAACAAGAAGGACATAGAATAAGTGAAGTCTTTTGAAAAGCCAAGTGCACATCTTCTAGGTAGTTCTCATTTTCTTCTTGACCAGGAGAACATCATTATGGGCTGGCAAAGTCCTCAGGAACCATCTGAAAGCAGGACCACAGAAGTCCGAGGGTCCACCTAGCTCTGATCTTGCAAAACTGCTTTTTAATAATGAAGGTAAGAGGTACATGAAAGAAAAAAGCTGGAGGTACAGAAGATATTAGTTAAACTAAAGAAAACACAGACAGAAAGATAGGGATGTAGAACAAGGCAAGGAAGTTTTACTGATTTTACTTATAAGTTCTCTCAAGAAATGTAGAAACCTGCTACATTCTCAAACCAGTGAATGTACAAAGGTGCTATTGCAATGATGCAACACTACTGACTCCACAGTCTGGAAGAGACCAAACACCCCTGCACTTGACAGAAAAAAAAAGATAATTATTGGCTTCATGATGTCTACCTACAAAATACCAATTTAATATATATTAAAATAAGAATGAGTAAATACACATAAGTTAATATGCATCCAACTGTTCAATCTCAAAATACATTAATACTCCTTACTTGAGTGAACAGAAAATACAATGTGATTTTTGCAAGTGCTTAGTGTTCCTAAAAAATTCTCACTTATATCATCTTGCCTAATACTATAAAAAAATCCTATGAGACAGGCATTTTACAGATGAGAGGAGAGAGTTTAGTTAAAATAACTTGCCTAAGAAAGTCCATAAAGAAAACAAATATTTCCATCACCCTTCATTCACTGACCTACCCACACTGGTACTCGGGGAGAGTTTGAGACAAACTCTAGGATGCCTCTAATTATGACAAATCATGCAAAACACACCACACTGAGTATGTGGGGTTATTACAGCCTTGAGAACTTGAACTTTTATATTTCCTGACTCGACAAGGCGAGGTGGTTGGGGGAACTGAGTTGAAATTCTACGTGTTAATGTTATCTTAAACCAGGTTTCAGGTTCCTAGAAGATCAGAGGGGAGATTCGAGAGGATTAAGGCCAAGACAGCAGATTGACCTTTCTGGGCAGTTTGCATCAACTGAATGTCAAATGACAACAGTCTAAAAGGTCATAAACCTATAACTAAGAATAATTAGCCATAATTCCTGTTAGTACAGGGATTTGCAGGAAAAGATTTAAGATACAAAGTGTTATATTCAAAATTGGAATTCATTTTTAAAATCTAAGTTTAAAACAATAAACAATAGTTTTCCAGAATTTGTTTTGTCATTGAATAGAGAGACATTTAGGCATCAGGAATTAAAAGTGGCCAAAGAACTATTATTTCTAATTGTTTGGATTACCCAGAGCATACTTTCAAGAGGCAGACATGATTTCCCTTGATTTTGTTAACCAGAGCATTAAGAATATTTGTCTCCTGACCATTCACATAGGTTGATGATGCAGAAAGCAAAAGTTCATTGTTAGCACCTAGGGTTTGGTGACTAATAAATACAGGCTACCACTAAGAGAGGCTGATCTCCTGTCTGCCAACTTTAGGTGAATGGTTATATCATGAAAGTATGCTCATCATTAAAAAAGTATGCTATGCCTTCCTATGCAACACTTAACAGGTAAAAATAAAACTCAAGCTGTTTTATAGCCTGTCTCTTAAACTGAGGGCATTCAAAGTTCTAGAATCAACACCACAATCTACATATAGCTTCACGTACATATAGCTACAAGAGATATTTCCAGCATCATGGACATCTGTGTGCCAAAAGACTTACTGTTACTAAAGGATTAAAAATAAAAGTTCCTAAAAGACTTGCACGCGTGCCTATGAACATGACTCCCAACAAGGTGCCCTATCTTTTTCACCTTTTGATGAGCTATGGTCTTGACTTCCTTTTCCCGAGACAAATGTTTTACAGTTGTTGAATGTCACTGGAAACAGCAACGGGGCACATCTTCTTCACATAAGTCTCAAAGAGGTGCTGCTATGATTACTAAGCCTATGAGACCTGGGACCCCACCTCACCCTGTTATCCAGACACAAGGAAAGAGTTAGAAAAGGTAAACCACAAACTTAACAGGTCCTCTTTATATATTTAGTTTAGAAGAGAACTAGTTAAAATTTGTGGGCTAGTTCTCCAGCCCCTGGGGTGATTATGTTTGGGCTGGTTTTGACAGATTTGAGTTTACCCACGAGACCTGGAAGCTCTCCTATCCTATCTTCCATGTCTTTCCAAGTAACTGACATGGGCTTCTTGGGCACTAAAACTTGTTATTTCAGCTACCTTTCCTTTAACTCTCAAGAAACATTAACATACTTTGAGTAAAAATAGACTCTTATTTTCAAAAGTGCCTGGAGTTCCTAGAGAACATTTTCACGTACATGACCTTGCCTCCAAAAATCCTGAAGGCAGGCATTTTTCAGGTGAGAGAACTGAGGTATAGATGGAACTTGTTATAAATTTGAGATTTTCTAACATCTAGGTCTATGCTTACTCATCTATAGTATAGAACAACACCATGCTTAAATCAGGTCATTATCACAGACATCAGCTCCTAGTAATGCTGAGAAGCCCTGGGAATGGCTCAGGGACTGGTGGTCACCTGTCCTGACAATAGATGCCTAGAAAGCGTTATAATCTGACCCTTCCAAAGAATCAAATGACCAATCAGGTACTGACAAGTTCAAAGCATGTCAGAATCCTGGTTTGTGATAAGAGAAAAGCAACCATTCTAAAAACAGCCACCAAAATATGGGTAGAAGATTGCTGTGGTCTTAAGAGAAAGGCAGTGGCTCACTTCCTTCCGTGCGCACCATGCCCTTCCAACCACTTCTGTTTCTCGACACGACTAGTAACCAAGGAAGTTCTCTAATGCTTCTTCTCCTCCTTCTAGGCCCAGGGTACTACTTTGTGTTCCTAGTGAAATCCTTCCTTCACCATCCTCAATCTTCAAGGCTCACCTTTCTCTGAAATCTCAAGTCTGTGTGGAGACACAGCCTTTGGAGAGCACATATTTTCACCAACTTCCCGTCTTTGGTGCCCTTTCCTGGTCTCCCATTTCATCTTTCCCCACATCAATCCATCTGACTCTAGCACCAGCTTTTTCTTTCAAACAGGTGGATCTCACAAAATTATTGCATCATCTGTGATTCCTTTGCTCTTTAGCAGTGAAAACCCAAGGTTGGCTGACGGTTCAGTGTTCAGTGATGTTCAGAGAGACTGGCACTGGGGAGACATCCCATTGGGGTACATGGCCTGTATTCCTGATATATAGGATTTGTATTCACTAGCACTTGAGGGCATGAAGGTGAATCCCAATAAGTCTGAGAACACCCAAATCCATAAATGCCACCACAGTACATAATTTTCCGGATGAGATTCAGTCACATATAACTTAACTCTTTGACCTCCCATATACAGCACAAAGGTAGCCTGGAAACTTGAGGACGGGCTCAGCTGTACACCCTGCTGGGTTAAGGGTGCTACTTCTGCCCCTGGCCTTTCAGCCTGCATGGGTCAAATATGTGCTTCAGAAAAACTATACTCTACTCCCTGTCATAGTATTTTTGGGTCACTCTGGACAGTCAAGAGTGAGTGTTAAAGTTGTAACTGCTGTGGGTCTCCAGTGACTTGTCCCCCATTCTGTCAAAGGCTAATTCCATCTGCCTCCAAAGGATTGCTGCAATCTGGGAAGGGGATCAATTATAAAATCTCTTTCTCTTTTAGAGACAGAGTCTCTCACTCAGGAGTGTGGGGTCGAGATCATTGTTCATTGTAACCTCAAACTTCTGGGCTGAAATGGCCCTCCCACTTCAGCCTCCTGAGTAGCTAGAACTTTAGATGTGTGCCATCCTGCCAGGCTAACTTTTATCTTTTTTTTGCAGAGACAGCCTCTCACTATGTTGCCCAGACTGGTCTCCCACTCCTGGCCTCAAGTGACCCTCCCGCCTCAGCCTCCCAAAGTGCTGGGATTGTAGGCGTGAGCCCCCATGCCTGGCAACGAATCTCTCTTTAAAGATGCAGAGTTAAAAATACCAAAAAGGATTTATTCAGCTGTGAAGAAACAGAGGACTAGACTTTCCTAAGCCAGAAAGATCTATTCACTGAACTCATACTGACTTTAGGAAGTACACAGCCTCATATGTTAGCCACCAGCCTCATGTGGCTACTGAGCACTGGAAATGCAGCTGGTCTGAATTGAGATGTGCTGAGTGTAAAAAAGAAAAGCAGATTTCTGAGACTTATCATGAAAAAAAGGATGTAAAACAGGTCATTAATTTTTAAAAAAATACTGAGTACATATTAAAATAAAAGTAATTTGGATTTTTACTTATTGGATTAAGTAAAATATATTATTAGAACTAATGTCACCTGTTTCTTTTTTTTTAATGTGGCCCCTATAAAATTTAAGATTACTTGCAGTTTGTGGCTCGAATTCTGTTTGTATTGGACAGCTCTGCTTCAGACTAAATTCCACAGTGTCTTTCAGGATTTGCTTTTACAGAAAAGATAAGCATGCTAAAGATGTGGTTTAAGTATCCTTTAAAAAAAAATTAGCCCCTTTTTGTGGACATCCCATTGGTGGTGTTGCATGACGGAAGGGCCAGCAAACCACAAGGCACCTCCAGTCACAGATTGACCTACTTGGCCAGCACTGACCCCTGCAGGTTCGTGTCTTCCTCCCTGGGACATCAAGGGGTCTGTGAGCTCTGACAACTTCACTGTCCTTGACTTATCTGACTTTAAATTCTTGTATTACTTTGTAAAATCTCCAAATAATACAGAAACAGCCCCCCATCCAAAAAACAAAACAAAAAAACAACTTACAAGTTTTGAGACGGAGAATCCGCTGCTGGAATGCACAGGTATTTAACTCCCTGCAGAATGATAAAAAATAAAATAGATAAATAAAAAGAAAAAGATGATGCTTAGTGGAGAAAAGAATTTAAGGAACTATTTACTCAGGTCAAAAAATAAAAAAACAAAAAGGAGAAGTTTTTCACTCATCTTTTGTTGCCAAGGAACTGGAAAAACTAATTAAAGTTCCTGGTTATTTTCCATGACCATGAATACAAATATTTATGCTTTAGTTTGCAAATAGCTTGTAAGTTGAGACAAAAAGTGAAACAGTTGAATGCTTTTCAGTAAGTGTCAACGAGTTTCAAAACAATCATCTCAGATGCTTGTTAACATATTCTGATTTTTTTTTTTTTGTATTTCATTTAGGATCCTGAATGTCCAAAAAGGAAGTACTATTAGTAAAAACCTTAACATAATGACTGAAAACTATAGTGTCATGGTACAGCTTTCTCTATCAATTTTAGTATTATGACAGGTACAATTTCACTGATGCACTGATAGAAGCTTACATTCTGGAAACAATTGCTTTATTTTGCTTGCTTTTCAGAACAGTAAAAGTTTGTGTACCAAACAAACTTTAAAAAAAAAGCCTAATTAATAAAAACCTTCATATTATCCTCTATAAATTGCTAAAAAAAGTTTATAAAATTCATGCTAAAAAAATCATGCTAAATTTGAGTTTTATAAAAAACTGGTTCTTTCTCTTTCAGAAAAATTGAAAGAATAGTTCAAGAGGTCAGGTGTAAACACAAAATATAAAAATCTTATATTCTCTCTATAAGAGAATGAGGCTTTATGAAGAATCAGATGAACTATTTTTAAGTCCTTTCTCTCTTAATTATGTAATTTCACAGAATATTGCCACCATGTCATGAACACTAAATGGGGGCCCATCAGGAACTAGAAAAACAACCCAGGATATTAAAAGAAGTATAGACAGGCAGGATAGTGACATACTCAACCACAAGTCCCTCAGAAGACAAACATGCCTTCTAGAATTATTCAACATATTTTTGTAAGTTTTCATTAAACTTTGGTTTTCTGCACTGTATTTGTAAATCTGTCTGTAAGGAACACCTAAATCTGGGCTGCCCTAAATCTCCCCACACCTTCTACACATTTTGAGAGTCCCTTGCCTTATAAATCTCACTCTTTCAAATATAGAAGCCACATACACTTCATGTCCCACTCCCCTTGCTATAAGGGTGACAAATCATGATGTGACTTTATTGATCCATCACCTACAGGAGACAGATTTGGAACTATTAAGCAGGACATGGGAAGTGACAAGTGGGCAGAATGCACGAGCCTTGTTGGTGCAGGTGAAGTCAGGAAGCCTGGGCTTTGCCGGTGCAGGTGAGACACGGGTAGCCTGGCTCTGGGCAGAGTGGGCAGCAGAGCTCATTTGACCAGCTGTGTGATGTGGTCTGGGGATTGTCCCTCGAATTTCAACTTAAAACTCCAGCTCTTGTGAGAAAACCAGGATCTCTCAATGATCTCTTACTAAGTCCCTTTATCTTGAAACTGGCTCGGTGTGAGCTCTGCTGTCTGCAACTAAGACCTGAGTGATACAATTCCTTCCTTTCAGCTCTCACAACGATGAGCAGACAAAACATTTTTTTTCCTGTATAGTTTCTGTGTATTTTGTTTCCAGCATTGTAGTAAATCATTATATCCTCCAACAAAGGCTCCTTTGGGTCTTGAAGAAGATGAGTTTTGCTGCTGTTTATTCATATAGGAACATTTGATTTGAGACGAGATGGGCATTGACCACACCAAGGACTCGATGTAAGGATCAGTTGGTGGAAGAGGAATGTGAAGTGGCAGATTCCCTCTCACTCAACCTTCATGTCATCACCCTTTATGACCTCCTGTGTCCCTGTCCTCATTTCTCCTGGATGCTGGGGGCTGTGCTCTGCGGGGAATATCGAGCAGTTGTCTGAAACTCTCAAGTACCTTCAAATCCAGAGAGACATTACAGCTCTGACTTAAAGGGCAAGAAAACTGAAAAGGAAATGCTACTTTTACAAAAAGTTGTTTCACTCCCTCTCTCCATCTAGGCCAAACAGGCATGCTGGTATAGATCCGTGTACTGACCATTTCCTACAACCTCCATTAAAATGACTCATTCACTTCTTTCCTTTTAAGTGAGAGTTGGCAGTGGATCAGGCCAGAAGCTTGTGAAATCCTCCCCTCCCACATACTTCCTCCCCTCCTTTCAGAACAGCACTTCCAGGGGGACCAGAAGGATTCTTGAGTTTCTACCCATCCTTCCAGTGCCCCTTCAGTTTCAGGCAGGGATGTTGAGTGGATCCCCTCTAAGACAGGATGGAATGCCCGCCTGTTGAGATGTGGACTGATAGTTACTTTATTCTAGCAGAATCTAAAATCATCCCAGTCCATGTGGTGGGAGGAAAGGAAAAAAAGAAGTGCTGGAAGACAATGGACAGAGTGAGATTAAACAGCTCTCCACTTATTCAGAACATTCACTGTAAGGACCAGCATGGAGTGATGGAAAGTGCCGTGCTTCCCTTTGGCATGAGGCCACACTCCCCTGTGGTGCCTAGGAGGTTAGCCCTGTCAGGTAGGCATGAGAATCTGCCCACAGGTGAAGGGCGTCTCTCCCTCCGTGAGCCATGGGGGACAAAGAGGTGACTCTCAACCACATTGGGCCCTCGCCTGCTCTAGCTGGGATGGCAGCAGCAACTTCCCGTCTGTGGAACTTTCAATGGGGAACAAAGTGGCTCCCAGCTACAGTCTGAGTACTCGCTACTATTAAGAGAAGACAGAGAAAACATGAAACATGAGACATCAGGACAGAATAACAACAGCAATGACAACACATATCCTGGAATGATGCCTGACACACAGCAGGCACTCACCAAAGGTCTGCTGAAAGACAGGATAGAATGATGAGAACAATGAACATGGAGATGACACTATGGTACTAGCATAAGGGAGGACACATACTTTCAAGCACTCATCCCTCATCTTGGAGACAGGGCAATGAGAGTGGGCTTCAGGCCCTGCCATGCACAGGGCTTACTGTCCCATGCTCTAAGGGGCATCTGCCACCCTCCTGTCCACCAAAACGGGACACGGCTAGGAACCAGTCACTGTACTCCACAATAAGAAGTATGCAAATTCAGGCAAGGAAGGAGTCAAAACTGTCAAAAAAAGTTTCAGCTGCTTACCGCCCAAGAACATCTATTTATCTTGGCTTAGTCATTAACAAAGCATGAAAAGTCTCTTTGAGGCCACAGACAACAGAACTTGAGCTACCTGAAACAGACTTCATATGCCTGCACATGTGTACAATTCATGACAGTTAATTACTAATTCAGAAAGCAGTGCGAGTCCCCAGTACCACAAGAAAGCTGGGCCAACTTAAAATTATCCTAGTACTAATGAGCTGAGTTCTGCAGATGTTTTAATGTGATATGAAATAGATGTTTTGCCTAACAGAATCTAAACAAAGAACCATTCTCTGGTGCTGAGGTTTGTAGAGACAAGGATAAGGGATAGAATGTGCTTAGCCGAATCATGAAAAATACAGCAAACTTAGGGGTTAAAAAAATAAAACTTACGTTCTAGAACAGTCTGAAAAATTCATAAGTAATAAAAATAGCAGCCATGTTTCCACCAGGATAGCATTTGACACACGGTATTGACTCCTTCATACTACCTCTAATATAAAGAAAAAAAAATTTGGTTATCTTCTCCTTTAAAATAAAATTCTCACTAAAGTAAAAATTCAGCACTTTCCATGATGTTTCAAAAAAGTAGATTGGTGAAATACCAATTAACATTAAACTTTTATGGGACTATTAAATGTCAAGTTATGGCTTTTCAATCTAGAGTGCTTGTTTTGTTTTGCACTGAAATATAAAATCAACCTCAGTTACAGGAAAGGGGTCTGGTTTATGTTTGAAGGCTATCATGATTCCTATGAGGAATAAAGAAAAAGCAGCTAACTTCTTTTGACTATATGGCATTTTGAGTGGCCTAACATGTCCAGAAAATTGCACCAGTACTAACTAACTGAGCACCAGAGGGGGGAGAAAGGGAGAAGAATTAAAGAAAAGTCTCTAACTATGTTGAGGTAACCCCATTTATAGAATATTCATAATAACAAGCAACATGCCTATTAGTATAAAAAAGTGGTGTAAAAATTAGGAAAATACAGGAAAGAAGCAGAAGAGTGAGGGGGGATCTGCTAAGGCCAGCTTTATGGTGATGTCTGTGTGTTCAGGTTTTGAAAGAAATGACAGTTATCACCTGGCAGGGAAGAAAGTTCAGAAGGTATCCCAGAGGCTCTTCCTAAACACAAGGTTAAAACTAAGTCCATATTCTCAAAAGTTCTCATATTTTTCAGTTTTCTGTTTCAACTAGTAACCACCAAAAGTAAGGTTTTTGCCTTTCTTTGGGCCTGAAACCAAAGAACACATTTAAAGCGATACATAGGCGCTTGAGGAGCAGGGCCAAGATTCTGATTTCATGACTGGTAAAGAGATCAAACTCTCGCTTGTTTCAAGTACGATTTCCAACAGTCACTGTCCTTTTCTTTCTGAAACGTCATAGTCAGAGTCTTCTGAAGAACCCAGTTGACCTTCTGTTTTTCACAAGAAAGAACAAGCCCTTCAGAAGTTGTTTTCTCTCTCTCAGGAAGACTAACAGAAATTAGTTCTAGGACATGACTATATCCCTGCTCAGAGGCCCAGATCAGGAAATCCCATCATGGAAAAGTTATTTTAATTTCTGATGAACATGTTACCATAAGATCTTTGGCTTCTCATCTGAGCCCTTGCAGCACCAGTGACAGTGTGTGTGTGCTTGGGAGGGGTCCTCCCACAGAAAGGATGTCTGTCTTCTGACTGATAGTCCCGTGGAAGCTCTTGTGGACACCCTTGATTCACACTAATTACCTATCACCCACAGGTAAGTGAGTGCAACAAACTAGTGACCCTGTCAAGAGCCCACATTCTTTCAAACCTGACCCTTAAAAAGACACATAAAATTAAAAATAAAATTTAAATTTGGACCACCTTTCACATGATCAGAAGCCAGACTGCAGTTCATACACTGTTACGAAAAATGCACACAGAAGGAGCTTCTCCCACTGGCGATAACTACTCCCTGTACTTTTTTGTTGTGGTGGTGGAAAAATACATGTAAAATTTCCTATCTTAACCATATTAAGGTGTGCAGTTAGTGGCATTAACACTGTTATGTAGCCATCATCACCATCCAACTCCAGAACCTTCTCATCTTTCCAAACCGAAACACTCGTTCCTCCCCTCTCCCAGCTCCTGACAATCCCCATTCTCCTTTCTGTCTCTATGAATCTGACCGCTTCTGTGCTTTTATATGAACCCAAAGGCAAGTAAACAGTAAAAAAAAAATTAGTCCAGTCACTCTTTTGAAAGTCACAGACCCAAGAGATGGCAACTGCTGATCTGAAATTGCTTTTGGTCACACACTCTAGGTCTGATCTGGCTCCTCTCCAAGGGCCTCCTTTTCACCATGTGTCTTCATTCCAGGAAAGGTATTTGAAGATTTTCACCTCACTTGTGTGCGCAGAAGCCAAACCTGGCACATGCATCCTGATTACTTAAGAATTTTTCATACAACCCATGTGTATAAATTATATAATGTTAAAGGTTAAAAGTAGAATTCGAAAATCACAGTCCTAGGAAGATGTCATCTTGAAAAGCAAAATCATCTTCAGGATCATCTCCACATTCAGTTCCAGGGAGAAGTGGTACAACTCATGTGCCACTTAAGTTGGACTAAGAGCTCCAAGTGAGTATAAAACTCACAAATAGGTGAGTTCTAGAAGGTGAGGCAACCAGTCACCTCTCTTTTTTATTGTTTGTACCACCGCTAAAATCACAAGGAAATTACTGTAGGAAATCACTACAGAAAGTAAATACAGGTTTTTAGTTGTACTATATAATAGATGTGTTAAGTCCAGGTTCTAGACTGAAGATGTGTTTTCTTAATGCACCCATTTGCTGCTGATTCTTCCTGTGTGGGCTAAATTTAGGAAACACTACTACAAATAACAACTTCCAAGAACTCTGTGGTCCTGATGGGGCAGGGAGGGGCAAAAAGGTCAGAGTGGAAGGATAAGATTTAGCCTTTGGTTTGATTTTGTGAGACAACATGCAAATGAGAAAGCTCTAACACCTGTTGGCCTCTTTCAGGTTAGTCAAAAAACGACATACATTTGACTTGTCAGATCAACAGATGAGGACTCAAATACTTATTTTTGTTCAAGGTATTTCAACACAAGACTAAAGTGGGCACAGTTGGAACATCGGATATCCTCAAGTCAGCACAGGCTGGGCCACGGGAAGGTATACGGGAGACCCACCAGGTGCCCTGTCACCACCGAAAGCCCTCTCTGTTCAGCTGGGGACTTGCTGAGGTACACAAATGTGACTCATGAAAAGTAGGCCAGCTTCAGCAGTCACTCCAAACCAAGGTGCGCCATAGCATTACTTAACGGAAGTTAGTACTAGATGCTGCCAAAAGATGGCTGTGAGTGAGAGATGCCACTTAGAAATCACCCAGAGAAATCAGTGGTAGATGCTTCAGGAGCATTCTCTGTATATATTATTAAGGAAAAGCTTATCTTTTACAAAAAAAATCATCTGATCATGTGTCTCAGCTGCTAAAAATTGTCCTGTGGCTTCTCTATGTCTGTAAAATAAAGAAAACCCATCCGCAAAGCCCTCCAACCCACACCTACACCCCTTCCTAACTTTGCCTCCCTTCTAACTCCCTTTGCTCATCTCCAGCTCACCAAATCCAGAGATCCTGGGTTGCTGTGAGTCTCAAGTGTCCTGTATTTTCCTGTCTCCCTGGTTCCACCAAGCTCGTATGGCTTTCTTTCAGAATAGCCTTCGCAAGGCTCTTCCTCAGTCAAACCCCCCAATGTCACTCACCAGGCTCCCCATAGCTCTCCTTGGAAGATCCTAAATACCCGCAACAGAACTGCACATAGGCGCTCAGCCTTGGTACAGGACTAGAAGTGCCTGTGGGGGGGCAGTCTCTCTTACTGGATGCCAGATTGCTCGACTGCCTAGATGCTGTGGTTGCCACCTTTTTGTCAGTCTCCAAGCATCTCTCTCCTCAAACATCAGGACATGGTTACCAAGGGAAAGAAGGGATGCGTGGGAAGGGAGACTCATTTTAAAGATTCTAAACATATGGCCACAAAGCCAGGCTGCTTCCAGGCTGGCTGAGGCACCCACAGGTGGCTCCAGTGTCGCTGTCCAGTACAGGCCAGCCAGGGCCGGTGGCCTTACAAGGCCTGCTCCCCTGCCTATCCTGAACTCCACATTGTGAATGGGTTCAGTAGGGTGGGGTGAGTGGACTCCCCTACCCCAGAAAATGATTACAGGTGAAGACAAGGCAAAGATGCTTGGGCAGGATGGCATTCAACAGGGGAGCTCCACAGCCCCAAGCTTCAGACCCAGTCCAGGTTTCTGGAAGCATGGCATGCCTGCTGCCAGGCAGTGAAGCTCTGGATAGGCGAGCACAGCCATGCTCATTCATTTATGTATTGTCTGTGGCCTTGCACCATGGTAGAAAGTAAAGGCAAGGTCTCTCCAAGTTGCACCAGAAGACCCCAAAGCCCCAAATCCTTACTATCTGGGCCTTGAGAGACAAAGTTGTACCAAGTCCCAGTCCAGACAGTTTCGAGGTATTTGAGGACTGAAAGCTTGTTTTGGGCTGGGTGTGGTGGCTCACACCTGTAATCCCAGCACTTTGGGAGGTGGAGGCAAGAGGACTGCCTGAGCCCAGGGGTTTGAGACCAGCCTGTGCAACTTGGAGAGACCTTGTCTTTACAATAAATAAAACAATTAGCCAGGCATGGTGGCACACACCTGCAGTTCCAGTTACTTGGAAGTCTGAGGCAGAAGGATTGCCTGAGTCCAGCAGGTTGAGGCTGTGGCTCCTGTGAGGATGTGATAGTACTCCAGCCTGGGAGACAGAGTGAGACTCCAACTCCAAAAAAAAAAGCTCATTTTGCTTATCACATTTTTCTTCCACATTTAAATATTTGAATAGAACATGCCACCTTCTTAGAATTACCATGTTCTTAGTCAACAGTTGTGCTTAGTTTCTTCCTTACTCCAACAGAGAGGGGGCAGAAGGATTTCCCTTGAATACCTGATGTCTTTAAACAAGAAATTAGCTGCAATATGTGAAAAACATGAAATACATTGCCAACACATAGTACTCAATAAATGGTAGCTGGCAGGTGTGCTGTCAGTGGCTCTCCCTTGACAGCTTTCCCATCTGCTTGGTCACCGGCAAACTCTGCATTGGCATCACACAGACAGACTGCGCAGTGCCCAGGGCAGGTGACTCTCTGGGCACTGGTAAGGAGAGCTATGCTCCCTCACCAAGTCATGTGCTGCACCGCCCCGACATCTGCTGAGCCAGCCTCCCTTTCTGGTCAAGACACAACTGCCTCCCTCAAATACAGCTCCCTGCTCAGGGAGCATACAGCGCTGTTTTGAATGCTATTTGTGCCCCTTTAGCAGATGACTGAACCAATGCGTTCTCAGACCCCCTTGTTTGTGATGGGATGACATGTCTACTGCAGGTGGGTTATGAGCTTTGTAGGTGGTCACTTGTCTTCAGCCTTGGACAGCTTGAACTCAGGCTGCATGGAGGAAGCCTGTTCTAAAATGTATGCACTATCTCTCCAGTCAAATGTCACATCCTTCCTCTTGGGAGGATAGTTTGCTTGAAGAAAAGGCAAACGCTGGCCCAGAGCAGGCCTGGCCAGTCCTTCAAGGGAGCTATGGTTCAACATATGCTATGGTTCAACATATGCAAAGGCTGACGTGGTAAGGGCCGGTGCCTGGGCCACTAAGAAGGGCCATGAGAACTCAGGGCAGAAAGAAAGCCCATGGGCTGGGAGGATGGGAGAAGCAAAGTGAGGATGCAGCTCTTCTGTTTCTCCTCCACCGGGAGGAGCATCCCCCCATGAAGTAAGATCATGTGTTAGAGACTGGGCTACATTTCCGTGCTCTGTGACTGCCTGACGTCCACGCTCAGCAGGCGTGGGCAGGAGGGCATGCTCCTCGCGCTGTTCCAGGGCCTTCTCTTGCAGGGCAGCACCTCACCAGCCCCTGCCCCCACGCCTGTGGTGCCAGCAATCTCACAGGTTATTTTTATTCTAACAGCTGCATCCTCTTGCACTACAGCACAGAGGGAAGCCCCAGGCCACTTTGGTCAGAGCCCATGCAGGGAAGCACAAGGGGAGAGAAAGCCCCAGCCACCAAGGAGGCCAGAGGATCCTCGCTGGGGGCAGCAGAACCGTGTGATGACCAGTCCAAGTTGTTCAGCTGCAATGCCAACACCCACGTCAGAGAAGCCTCCATCAGAAATGGCAGGAAACTTCAGCTTAAAGGAACAGTAAAAAAAACAAAAACAAAAACAAAACAAAAAACCCCCCCAAGAAAACCAGAAACTAAAGCCCACTTTGAAATGTTATCCTACTTTATTAACTCTAGGATTTTTTCTTGGGGCACAGGGTGAAGCCATTCTATGATGCAGTTTAAATTGACAGTCATTTAGAGTAGATTTGAAACTGCCTTCTGCTTGTATGCTGTGGGCTGGTCTCTTGGAATAAGCTATTTCACAAAATGGACACATTTAATTTGTGCCTGTCCCACCATGATGGGGCCAGGCCTCCTGCAAGGTCAGTGTGGCCTGAAGCCATCTATGAACTGCTCTGCTTTAGGAATAGTTTCCAAGATGAGTTCTCACACCAAGGTTTGGGTTCAGCTATGCCCCAGAATTACAAAATGCCAGGGAAGCCTGTCCCTTTGCAGCCACTCTCAGATGACAAAGGGACAACCTGTAGCTGCTTCCCACATGTCCTCTGGCATTGGCCACAGCTCCTACCAAAGGAGCTGAGGGACCAGTGAACCATCCTCCTTACTTTGGGAAAATACCTTAGAAGCAAAAGTTGGACCTCCAGAGAAAGAGGCTCCAACCTGGATCTCAGACACACCTACTTCCTCCCAGGGCCCGGCGCTGGTCTGCACTTGCACCATGCATTTTGTTTGCTCTCCCATCAGAAAAGAGGGCAAGAAGTGGCTACAGATGCCTCTGCTCAGTGGTGAATGTTGAAACCTGACATCTGTGCCAACTGCAGAGATAACAGAAAGGAGATAAATAATTTCTCAATTCAGACCCAGGTTTGACACCATCCTTCACCCCAACACACACAGGTCTCCATACTGGCTGAGGAAGCCAGGTCAAGAGACGGAACACGTTTTGAAAAGCAGTGTGAACAGAGCTCATTCACACAGCCTATCCTGAGGTGATGAAACTAACGAAGTGCTATTGCTTCACTCTCAGAATTTTAAAATAAGGTCAGATCACTTCCCTTGCAGGTGTGGACAGACACAAGGTCCACCTGCATTGCCTACTAGGCAGTGAATTATTCAGAGCACCTGAAAACAGCAGATTTGCTTAAACCAGTCTTCAGTAAACCATGCTGCTTTTAAATCATTATTTTTCTTATGGCTAAAAACAACAATGGTATCCATAGAGTAAACCCTGCTTTGTGTCTTAACCAACAGACCACCTTTAACTTCCCATTCAGACTTCTCACTACAGACTCCAGCGTCCTCCACCCAAGCAGTGGGCAACCCATAGAGCCTCCTTGGGTCAGTTGTTCTCCTCCATTGCCACCATAATGCTTAGGGTTTCTGCTAGTCTGACAGTCACACACCGTGTTTTCTGGACCCAGAACCAGAAATGCACTTGTTCTTGGAAGATATTCTCTGAGGACATTCCTTGGTTGTTTCCACCCAACAAAGCCACTCTTTCCTTCTATACACCTTAACAGGACTGTATCCTTCTTTCCAGTTTTGATTGTCATGTCACGCACTCTCCCCTTTCCAATGTCCACGTCACCTAAAAGCACATGCATGAGGGTCTTCTTGGGCTGGTGATGGAGGAGCTGTAGAATCTCAGCTTGGGGGTAAGCAAAACACTAACCCTACATCTGGACCCAAATACCCCGAGGTTCCACTGCAGGGAATCTCAAAACCTGTATTCAGGAATAACAAATGTGTTTGTAACAGATGGAGTAACAGATGTGTCTGTCTTACAACTTAGACTGATGAGATCATGTGTTCATAGACTTTGAATGCTGTAATGACATATAAAAGCAAGATGCTAGAAGATAGCTCCACCATTGTCTCCTGAATTCCTGATCATGCTGCTATATCACATTATTGCATGGTTTTATTCAACCCCAATGGCTTAGCTACATACTTACACTGTGATGCTCAAGTCTCATGTCCCGCCTAGATTTTTTCTACTGTATTTCTATCTGCTGATGAACATCACATGAACCTCCCAGCCAGCACTGAGCTTGGTCCCTTTCTTCCACCCAGCTCTGCCTCTTGGAGTGCCCACACCCCTTGGCAGCATAGCTGTGAGTCCTTTCAGCCCACTACGCTGTAATCTTAGGCATTTCGGAGTCTCACACCTAAGAAATGACTCTATCTACATTTTGAAGCTGTTTTATAAGAGGCCTACAAATTCATGGCCATTATAACATCTCAATGGACTGCTCAATTTTTCATTTATGTAGTTTCCTTCTTTATCCCAGTTATTATTTTTTCTTTTGCTTCCAATCTCTTTTTGTCTGGAAAGACTATTGCTATACCATCTTTCTTTTGAGGACCTTTTCCCATCCTTTCATGTTTAATCTTGCTGTGTCACTCTGTAGAAGATTTCTAGATTAAATCTGAATCTTCCACTTCTAGAAAAAAATATCACTCCCCAGTGTTCCAGGTTAAGCCCTCATCATTTGTAGCCAGGATTGCTGCAAGAGCCCCTTAAGAATCTCCAGGACACCCACCTCCTAAATTGCTCTGTCGCCAACCCAATATTCTGGATAGAAACCTGAATTTGTCACCTGACTGTTCATAGATCTTTACTAGGTCTCGATAACCACAAGATCAAGCTCCGACTCTTCAGTTTGACAAAAAGCTCCTTTGCTAATCTTTTCCAAGTCTGCTTTTCCAGTCTGGCCACCCTGCAGACCAGCTCTCTGCTGAGCCCTTCAGGAGTGCAAGGACACCTTGCCATGTCTGTGCCCCCCAAACCCCACTGCCTCTTGTTGTGAGGCCCTGGCCTCTGCATATGGCCCCCACCTCTGCATACCCCCGCCTCTGCGCCTTCCACCTTTGTGTGCCCCTGTGCCCCTGCACATGCTGCACTCTCTACCCAGAATCCCACCCAGCTCCAACTGACTCTCCTCTCCATCATTACCTAGCAGATCTCTGTTATCATTTAGGACTGCATCAAACTGTCACCTCTTTGGGGACATCTTGTTGGCTGCCCTTGGCAGAATTAGCCATTTTCCACTAGGTGTCTGGAAGCCTTGCCTGTGAATTTGCAATTCTGCACTGTTGCGAAGATTTATGTGCCAATTACTCCTTAATGCTGGGCCCCTTCTCACTCCTCCTTATATTTTATCCCCAGTCTCTGCTACAAGCTAGGTGCC